CATATGATGAAATGGGGGTTTTTTTAATATAAAATTCCAAATCCACTTAAATTCCGTTTCCACCTACAACATATATAAGTAAATAACGATAAATTATACCGTGCGAATTTGAATTGAAATAAGTATATATATATGTATGTTATATAGTATATATACCAACGATTGTAATTTAATTAGTTGCTTTAAAAGGTAAAATTGGTATGTATCTGAGCCCTCCCGCTTCACATAGAATTTTACTATCTTAAGCTTGCATTATACAATACTGATGTATTATGAATTCAACTAACAATGGTGAGTGCTAATATATATTTATATTCTCAATAAAAATCATTTATTAGTATTTAATTAGATATACTTATTCATTGGTTATAGCTTTGCATAATTTATCTTCACATACCATAAGCTAGATTTGGTTTTTGCATATATGGTTTATACTAAAATAGTTGGTTTAAACATTTATTTTATGGGCATTTTTTATTTTAAAAAGTGAGCGATTTCTCATGAACAAACTTTAATAGCCTCGCAAAATTTATTTTCTATAGCTTTAACGGTTTTGAATAATCCAGCCGCAGTGACTTCATATGACTCACCTTCAATAGCTTTATACAATTCTTCTAAAGAAGTTGAAAGAGAAGCTGAAAATAAATCAGATTCAAAACATCCTGGGGAAGGCCACCAAATTCTGTTTGGGCTCATTTTTTTGCAACGCCATTAAAAACAGCTGGTCATTTTTCTGCAAAATATAAATATTGTTTTAAACAATTTAGTCGTGAACATCCTAATGAGCTTGAAATGCATCTCGCAAAAGATTGTGAAGGTAAAGATCTTGCCAATGAAATAAAAAAAAATTATCTTGAGATAGTAATCCAGAGACATTAATTAAAGAAAAAAACAAAGAATCTGGTTTAAAAAATCAATCTAAAAAACAAAGATTAAATATTAATGATTATTGAGAAGATGAAAATCAACTTTTATTTGGTCCTAAGAAAGAAGCAATTGATTGTACGATCATTAAAGCTTTCGCTATGTGTGGGCTTCCATTTTCTGTAATCAAGAATCTATGGTTTATCAATATACTTTCTTTTTTTTTTATTAATATAATGTTATAGTAAAAACTTTATTACAGTTAGTCCGAAGATTGAAAGTTATCTTATAGTCTACAAATCTAAGTAAGGGGACAGATAAGCTATTTATTTATAACCAGGCTGCCAAAACCCTTCAACTTGAA